ATTACTTGGGTAATGTGGGTGTGATCTTGTTGGATAGTGAAATCGGAAGGTGTAGCAGGTGCGGACGAAGTCGTGGTTTGACCGTCGCTCATTAATTGAAATTGTTGATAGCGCTGAATCTGATTAAGATGATTGGGCTGGGCTCATAACCTAATGAGATAGGAATGAGATCGTGACTGATAAGGAATCATGTATTAGTGATTTAGGGAAAGCGCTATGGCTAGATATCACTAAGAGTGATGGAAATGAAAGGTATGCACCTGTCGGAAGGTAGCAACGTAGAGACACAATAATGTTTGAGTATTAATTACTATTAAGCAGCAAGCATAAGTTGAGAAAGAAAAGAAACAGAGAAAGAGCTACTAGCGAACCTGATAAGGAATCACGTATTAGTGATTTAGGGAAAGCGCTATGGCTAGATATCACTAAGAGTGATGGAAATGAAAGGTATGCACCTGTCGGAAGGTAGCAACGTAGAGACACAATAATGTTTGAGTGAAGAAAATACAATAACACGCAAACAATTGGTCTTTATATAGTGATAACTTCGCGATACATAGGTTAACAATCTTTCATCAGGTTTGCGCTTCTCATGCGCCGCTTTGGGACAAAGATAAAACATATGAGAATGGTAAAGAGAGAAATAAGGAGACGTTGGATACTATGACCAATGCGGAATAGTTGCTACGTCCTTGAGTGGATGTTAACTATTGTGATGATAATTCAATAGGTAAGATGTTTCGACATCCTTTTTTGTTCGTCTGGCTTTGGCAGGCTCTGATTGCGCTTTCAGGATCTTTTTTGCCTTGTAAACGTCCAACACAATTGCAACCGATCTAAATGCACAGTCCAGGATGGTGCCAAGAAACGCCTCGAAAGGAGGGAAACGTCGGCAAGACTCAGCAGCATCAGCCATAATGAAACGGACTACTTCATTGTGAACAGTGCGAGCCACTACTCAGCAGAAATGCATTGAGCAGTGGCCAATGTGCCCACTCGGAAATTTTTGCCCGCTGAATGGTTGGCCGCAATTCAAGAAGGCATCAAGATTTGGCTCTCTGTTCCGGTTAAACAACGTAAGAAGAGGCAATCACAAAAGGCTAAGGGTAAAGAAAAAGAATTGGATGATGATGAAGCAGCACTTGATGACTCTGACTCTTTGGATTGAGGGCCTCTGATTGCTGCTTGTGTTTGTTCCCAAAATGTTTCCATCTGTGTGCGAATTCAAAATGATTAACTTGTGCAATCAAATACATGGGTTCATTCTCTTGCCTCTCGCAGTGAGAAGTCTTGCAAGGCCAACTCTCCTCACTGCGAGACGTGTGCCTCACCATAGATCCCTAAAGAGGCAATATATGGCAACACGTGACACACGTTTGTTGCTATTTCCTCTAAGGAGCGCGAGGACTGACCAATCACAGACTGCTCCTGCACCCCCTGGCTCCCCAAAAACCTTGAACAGACGCGTGTCTCCTCAGAGATAATTGGGCGTTCTTTCTTGTTGACTCTTTGCTCATCCTCCTCATTAGATTTCTTCTCACATTTTCAAACACAATTCAAACTCGTTTTAAAACACCATTCCAAAACAATCTCACTTTGCACATCATGTCTTCGCAACCTCTCAATAACCGTGTTCAACCGTACTCTCTATCAACTCCTAGGGGCATCAGTAAGAGTCGCGCCCTCCTTTTTTCTCGTTCTCGTCGTATCACACCCAGTTAACCCCTTATCCCAATCTTGAGGGAACCCCACTAGCGCTAACTCTGCCAACCGTGCTGTTGCTCGCAGCGCTCAAGGTTCCGGGTCAGCCGCCGGCACTAACAATAGTGTCAGTTTGGTCGCCATGGTGATTTCACATCTCAGATCAGTCATCACTGATCGATGGATCACT